AGAGGCCATGACAGAGGGCACCAAGTGGCGCGGAACCGACACGCGAGCACAGGGCGGACCCGACGGCGGGGGGGTGGCGACGAGGCACGCAAGCGGAACGCAAGAAAGCTCGGGCGGGGCCCGACATGGAAGAAGGAAGGGGGGGGGTCGCGAGGCCCCCGCCGGCGCCCGCGCTCGGAGCCGCGCAGCCACAGGACCCCTCCCGAAGGAACTGGTTGGTCTTCGCTCTCGGGCTCGGGCTCCTACGGAAGGCTTGAAAGGCTCCGCAGGCCCCACGGGCTCCTCATAGGCTCATCAGAGGCCCCCTGGCACCTCGCAGAGTGGTCCTGGGGCCCGTCTGCACGAGGCCCACCTCCTGGCGGGGTGCTCTGGGGAGCTTCGGGAGAGGCTGTTCGGGACGGTCCTGAGCGCGCCTCGCGTGTCCGAATCCCACCTCCGAATCCTGCCCGCGGCAGCCGCGCGCCTGCCCCGAATCTTACCTGCCGACGTCCCGAATGGCGCTCCGCATCGCACCGAGTCAGGGCATCGCATCTTGCCCGTCGGGGCCCCGAATAGCGCCCCGCACTGTAAAGAAGAAGAGAGGGGGAAAAAAAAGAGGGTGAACTTTCGCTAAAGATTCGGCGATGTGAGAAACTGCCATGTTCCGGACCATCTTTCCACGGCCTCTGCCAGTGGCATCTCTGGGGGGAACGCCCGGCGCGCGCGGGCGGCCTGTCGGCCTGGGGCCTCAGGGGCCCATCATGCCGGGCACTCGCCTAAAAGGCGCTGAACTCCCTGGTTTGGACGCCCGAAATGGGTACCGAAACAATGGGTACGATGCCCAACAGCAAATGCTGTCCCAAACCAACAGCGGCCGCTGTTGGGCAGGCGGCCTCCTGTCTCGAATGGACACAGGCCGCGGCGGCGTGGACAGCGAATCCTGTTCAGAATGAACAGGAACTGCTGTTGGGCATCGTACCCATTCTTTCCGTGCCCATCTCGGGCGTCCAGACCTGGGTTCTGGGGCCACGGCCCACGGACTCCGCGGCACCCAGGGGCGCGCGATCCCCTCGGGCCCACTGTCGAAGGGCCCACGGCCAACGACTCTCGGCCCCCAGAAGCAGAAGCGGGGGGCCTGCGGCGCCTCACGGCGAAGGGGCGGGACTCCCTGAGCTCCGCAGGGAAGGGCCAAGGAGGAGGAGGAGGAGGAGGAGGAGGAGGACAGAGACTCCTGGGAACCACAGTCCAAGATCGCGGGCTCCTGGGGCGCAGAGTCAGGGGAGGCCCGCGAAGTTCGCGGCACGGCCCTTGGGGCCACGGGCCCAGGACTCCTCGGTCGCCAAACGGAGGAGGCCCACGACCCTGGGGCCCTCGAGCCACGTCCGCCCCTGCAACACCCACCCGGAAGAACTCCGACGGGGGCGCTCGGCCCGCGCGCAGACAGCTCATCGACGAACACGAGCACTCCAGGAGCTTCAACTTCGGCCCCACAAACATCCCGAGGTGCACCCCAGACCATTATCATTACTACATCTATTACTACTGCTCTCTCTGTTGCTACTAGAGCTGCTACTGAGAATTCTTCGAATACCAGTATTACCACCACTACGACTACTACTACTACTACTACTACTACTACTACTACTGCTGTTGCTGCTGCTGCTGCTGCTGCTGCTGCTGCTGCTGCTACTGCTACTACTACTACTACTACTACTACTACTACTACTACTACTACTACTACTACTGCTACGACTGCTACGACTACTACGACTACTACGACTACTACGACTACTACAACTACTACTACTACTACTACTACTACTACTACTACTACTACTACTACTAACTACTAACTACTAACTACTAACTACTAACTACTATCTACTAACTACTAACTACTACTACTACTGCTACTACTACTACTACTACTAGTACTAGTACTAGTACCAGTACTAGTACCAGTACTACTACCATTATTACTACTACTACTACCACTACTACTACTACTACTACTACTACTACTACTACTACTACTACTACTACTACTACTACTACTACTACTACTACGACGACTACGACTACGACTACGACGACGACTACGACTACGACTACGACTACGACTACGACTACGACTACTCCTACGATTACGACTACGACTACGACTACGACTAGACAACTACACTGCTACTACTAACTACTAACTACTACTCCTACTACTACTACTAACTACTAACTACTACCTACACTACTACTACTACGTACCTACCTACCAGATTACCCTACCAACCCTACCTACCTTACTTACCTACCTTCCTACCGACGCTACCTACTACTAATACGACTACTACTCTACTACTACTACTACTACACTAACAACTACTACCTACGTACAACTACTACTACTACGACTACTACTACTCACTCTACTACAACTACTAAAATAACTACTACTACTACTACTAAACTACTACGACTACTACGACTACTACGACTACTACTACGACTACTACGACTACTACGACTACTACTACTACTACTACTACTACTACTACTACTACTACTACTACTACTACTACTGCTACTACTTATGCTGCTACAGTCGGGGCGGGGCAGGAACGCGGGCGCACTTACCCCGCGAAAGCACGGGGGGCTAAGAAAGGGCAAGCTCAACGCGGTGAGCCGGGGGAGGTTTGGTTTCTGGGCGCGGGGGCCCGACGCGCGCGCGCACGCGTGCGCCCCGACCAGGGAGGCGGCCCCGCAACGCATGGGAGTCCCACTTATCCGACGGAGCTGCCCCCCAAAACGGTTCGGCGAACAGGTGCTCCACTCCAGCCCAGGAAGCTGCGAGTCAGACCCGCGCGCAGTCGCACGAGGAAGCGCCGGGGATTCATTCACCCGGATGCGCGGCCACACAGAAGGACAAGACGACGACAATGACGACGACGACGACGACGACGACGACGACGAAGACGAAGACGACGACGACGACGAAGACGAAGACGACGACGGACGCGACACTGACGACGACGACCACCACTGCGAGGCATCCCGCCCACGCGCGCCACAGCCGCGCGGGCGCCGCCGCTTGCGGAGCCACATCGCAACCAACCCCAGGCGTGACAGAAGCGCGTCAGCCCTTGCCTTCGACGCGAAAGGGACGACTCGAGGCACCGCGCCCGAGCGCACCAGTATCCGCCCAGACGCCAGCGCGCGCGGGGGCGAGAGGGGAGGACCAAGAACGGGCAAGAGGAACACTGGGAGCGAGAGGACCTGACTGATTGGGCCAGGGAACCTGCTGTGATCAGCGGCCGCCCGTCGCTCGAAACGCCACGCGGCCTTCCAAAACGACGATGGCTTCGCGGGCCTGCCGCCCCTCCTCCTCCTCCTCCTCCTCCTCCTCCTCCTCCTCCTCCTCCTCCTCCTCCTCCTCCTCCTCCTCCTCTCCTCCTCCTCCCTCCCCCTCCGCCTCCGCCTCCCCCTCCCCCTCCCCCTCCCCCTCCCCCTCCCCCTCCTCCTCCTCCTCCTCCTCCTCTCCTCCTCCTCCTCCTCCTCCTCCTCCTCCTCCTCCTCTCCTCCTCCTCCTCCGCCTCCGCCTCCGCCTCCGCCTCCTCCTCCTCCTCCTCCTCCTCCTCCTCCTCCTCCTCCTCCTCTTCCTCCTCCTCCTCCTGCCACGACCTCGACAAACGATCGTTACATGTACAACTTGCTTCAGGGGGGCCACCAATTTTTCCACGCGCTGGCAAGACTGCCGCTATATCGGGGCCGAACGGGCCCAAGCGACCCAGGGCCCGACCCTGCGCTGCGGCATCGCAACGTGCAGCCCACAACGCCAGCGGAAAAGCTCGCAAAAACGACATCGAGCAAAACATACGCAACCTGTAACAGAACAGAGTGCACCGAAGTTTCGTTCGGGGTCCTGTTCAGCCAAGAGAAATACGAAAACTGGCTCGGCAGCCACCGCAGAGCGGTGTACCGCAGACCCGCGCCCTGGCTCGCGGGCCCTCGCTCGCGGGATTGTTCCGTCGTGGCAGGTGGCAGCGGAAGGGAAAAAAGGAGGAGGGGGGAGGAGGACGACGACGACGAGGAAGAGGAGGAGGAAGTGGACGACGAAGAGGAGGAGGAGGAGGAGGAGGAGGTGGAGGGCACTGGGCGAGGGGGGGTCAATAGGATGGGAGGAGGTTGAGGACGGAGACGGCCAAGGGAACAGCACGAGCAGCCGCGATCCTAACCATAGGGCCGCCGATGCTGCCAGAGCCACCTTGGAGAACCCCCCCCCCGGGGGGTCCCCAGGGGTGCGTTGGCTACGTTGGCGACCCTCCCCCCTCTCCTGCCATCCTCTCCTCCTCCTCCTCCTCCTCCTCTCTTTCCTCCTCCTCCTCCTCCTCCTCCTCCTCCTCCTCCTCCTTTCCTCCTCATCCTCCTCCTCCTCCTCCTCCTCCTCCTCCTCCTCCTCCTCCTCCTCCTCCTCCTCCTCCTCCTCCTCCTCCTCCTCCTCCTCCTCCTCCTCCTCCTCCTCCTCGTGTCGCCCGTCCCTCGGTCTCCCTCGTCCGTGTGGAGGGGGGGGAACCCCCTTTGGGCTAGAGCCGATGCCCAGGTCTACACGCGCGCCCTTGCCCCCGCCCCCCCCAGCCAGCTCACGCGCTGGTGGGGAGGGGGTGGCGAGGGGAGAGGGGAGAGCCGTATGCGGGCTGCAGTCGCCCGTTCGAGGAGGCAGTCCGCAGGTCCAGGCCCGGGAAGGGAGGAGGAGGACGAGGAGGAGGAGGGGGGAGGAGGGGGAAGAGGGGGAGGAGGGGGAAGAGGGCGAGGAGGAGGAGGAGGAGGAGGAGGCGGAGGAGGAGGAGGAGGAGGAGGAGGGGGAGGAGAGGGAGGGGGAGGAGGAGAAGGAGGAGGAGGAGGAGGACGAAGACGACCTCCACCACCACCACCACCAGAAGCAGAAAGGGAGACGACGACAAGCGCGGGCGCACGCGCGAGCCACTTCGCGCAGTGCGCGCCGGGAAAGAAGCAGCAGGGGGACGCGCCTGTTGTACACCTGGCCGTGGACGCTCTTGAGCGACTCCTGGTTAGCAGCGCGGGAGGGTACATTCTCGGAGGAAGTGGGAAAGAGGGGGGAGAAGGTGGCGGGGAAGCGGAAGGAGGGACGAGGAGGAGAGGGAGGGAGGGAGGGAGGGAGGCACGGAGGAAGGGAGGGAGGGATGGCTCTCGCTCGACGACGGCTTGGCGCAAGGCGTGCTCGGTACCGCTCTGTCTGTCGGGAACTGTGGCTACCGCGGCCGGAGACCAGGCCTGTGCAACAACAGAACAAGACAGGGCGGGAGGAGGGAGAGAGGAAAGGAGGTAGAAGGGAGGAGGAAGGACGCAGTTGGAAGGAATCCTCGGGAATATTCCTCCAGGATTCCGTCAATGTTCCTTCAGGAGTCTCCTGGAGACGAACAGGATTCCCACAGGATTCCCTCCAGAGTCTCAGGATCCCCTCGGGAATCCTCAGGATGCCCGCAGGATTCCCTGAGGGCTCCTCAGGAACCTTCAAGACTCTTTCTCGGGCCCGCACGGAAATCCTCAGGGACCCCAGAAGGCTGCGCAAAACCTCCCCCCAAGACTTTCCAGGTGCTCTTCTGAGGCTCCCCAGAGGCTCGCAGAACGCTCCCTAGAGGCCTCTCAGAGCCTCAGAGGCTCGGAAGGGGGGGTCGGAGCCCTGGGCTGGGGCGCGGATGGGGTCCAGGCGGTCCTCGAGGCGCGTCGGACACCTGCTCCTCTGCGCCTCCTCCACGGGCGACCACCTGGTCGGGGAGAGGCCGGGGCTGGCAAGCGACGGGGGGCGTCAGAAAAACTTCAAATGGCGTTGCGCCTCCTTCCTGCTCTTCCATCCTCCCTCCTCCCTCCTCCCTCCTTCCTCCCTCCTGCGTCTTCCCTCCTCCCCCTCCTCCTCCTCATCCTCATCCTCTTCGTCCTCCTCCTCTCCTCCTCCTTCTCCTCCTCCTCCTCCTCCTCATCATCATTCTCCTCCTCCTCCTCCGCCTTGGTATCCTCCTCGTTCTCCTCCTCGTCCTCCTCCTCCTCCTCCGACTCCGACTCCTCCGACGACGACGGCGACTACCACTACGACTACGACTACGACTACAACTACGACGACGACGACTACGACTACGACTACGACTACGACTACGAATGCGATTGTGACTACGACTACGACTACGACTACGACTACGACTACGACTACGACTACGACTACGACTACGACTACGACTACGACTACGACTACGACTGCTACTGCTGCTGCTGCTGCTGCTGCTGCTGCTGCTGCTGCTGCTGCTGCTGCTACTGCTACTGCTACTGCTACTGCTACTGCTACTGCTACTGCTACTGCTACTGCTACTGCTACTGCTACTGCTACT